AAATCTATTTATCTTGATTGTGAATCAGAAGCAGCTGTAAGCGAGGTTCAGTTGGCACAGAATTCACTGTCAGATCTCTTTGACTTTACTGTCAAGCCACAAATCAAAAAAAAGACTCCCACAACAGCAGCTTAGGATTAAATTATATTTCTACAAATGCGCCGTGGTGTGAAAAGCCGTCACAACCTAACGGCTTAGTGTGCAGCAGTTTCTAAATATCAGCGTCTGCTGATCAAAAATTGATTAGGCAGTCGGTGTAATCTGTCGCAGGCAGGTTAAATGCTCAATCAATGAGATAATCAGTGTGCAAATGAGGTTACTTCCAGAAATAAAAGGTCAAACGGTGCAGATGTTGTACAGCTAGAACGTGAGATTAGGTGAGGCAGCATCCGTAGAGGCTCTCCATCATTTGGTATTTTACAACATGATAAGTTCACATTAAATGTCAGGAACATGGCCGCACATGAATGAATTTCACCGCATCGGTTTTTTGTTTTACATTAATTCCAGGATCATCTCTCCTGATATTTCTCTGACAGTCGCTGTGCAGCATTCAGCTTCTACGCAGCTGAAAAAAGTATTTTCTCAGCTGATGTTTGGTCAGAATAACATATGAACACATAATAAAAGCCAATAAAGTACAAGAGAGCGTACAGCCGATAACTTCTAAAGAAAAGCAATAAAATCCTCAAAGAAAACTGCTGCAACACGTCAGCGTCTTTCTCAGAGAATAGATTCACAAACTTATCCTGGACACGTCGTTAAAGCCTTCGTCCTAAGTTGAACTTGTTGGTTCCTGTCACAGCGGCAGCACCAGGAAATCAGCAGTAAAGGACGCCGCCAAGCTGAAGAAGTGGCTTCGGGGGGTTTGGTTAGCGGCTAAATCAGGTGAGGACTGTTTTCTGTGGCCAAGTGGAGCGACAGAACTCAGCTGTGACCAGAGCGAGACGGCCAGACTGGCATAGGAGGGATGGAGGAAGGATTCAGGATGATTTTCTACTTAAGGAGCTGATTTCAGGGTGTAGATTAGATTAATTAGCACAACGTCTCTCATTTGTTGAACCATAAAGAAGTAGAAGCCTAAAAGTGACAGCTTGTGGCTTTAGGATGAGTTAAACATGACTGTCTCTCAGCTTTAGAACTACTGCCAGGTGTATTTTATACCAAGCTGACCACCTCCTGACTTCACCTGCACAAATATTTCCCCAAATGTTCCAGAAACATCCCTTTAAGGAATCATTACGTCATCTCTAAGCTCCACCGACTGCCTGATACGTCACTCAGAGTTCGTTCGTTTTCACAGATGACCCACTAGTTAACCCACTTCGCTCAGAACCAGCCTGTGAACAGTCACCACTGAACCCTGACGTAGCTTCTGCTTCACCACTCAGAATAGACTCGGCTCTCTTCTTGCTCACTCACTTTCTCTCCAGAAGCAGAGGCACCACTCCGCCGTGGACACCTTCCCGTCCTTGTAGCTGTCGCAGGAGTTGAAGAAGGGTCGGATGCAGACCTCGTACTTGTCCAGATTGATGGCGGCCAGCTCGGCCTGGTCCAGATACAAGTCGCTGTTGGTGTCCAGCCTGGAGAACATCCACCCGATGGAGTCCTTGCAGCTGGCCACCAGGCTCTTGTCCAGCACTGTCGGCGACAACGGCGTTAGTTTCTCTCTACGTCTCTTTGCTATTGAGGTGTACGTTTGGAGGCTGCGGAGAACAAACATGCTGAAGCTGCTTTGTGAGCTTCCTCACCTGAAGCGGTGCCAGCTCCAGGTTTGCCAGAGTTGTTCTGCTTCGCGTTGCCATGAAGGAGCTGGAACCAGTCTCTCAGGCGGTCGCCCAGGTCTGCCAGGTCCTGGCCGGTGCAGCTCTCTGAAGGAACAAATAAGGGAATCGTGCTATTCAGAAGGCTGGCAGACGCTCGACAGCAACCTGACTCACTTTCCCTACAGGCAGACACGAGCCCAGAACAGCTTTACGTTGCTCTGAATGATGTGAGCGAGAGGCGCAGGTTTCCCTCAACGCTTGATCTCTGTTGTTGTGTTTTCATGCTGTGATTTATTTAAGTGCGCGATTTGCTAATCAAAGAAAACATTATTTTTCAATTAACTGGGTGGCAGCAAATTGCTGCTATCCAACAGAAATCCTTTTACAGTTTCAGGCTAAGCACTTATTCCAGGCTGCAGATGAAAAACACAAGCGGCATTTCATCCGTTTGATCAATCGGCGTTTTCACGTGTCCGAGAAGTCTGGACGATCAATACTGTTTGGCTGCAATGACAGAAAGTGTACACTCTAAATAATTAATTAGTGCATGATTGAAAGACCGCTTCAGCCACATGGGGGGTATTTGGCGAACAGTAATCTTTGAAATTGGCGGGTATTGATCCCGAATGTTGAGCAAGCATCGGGTTGATTAGTTCTGTGAGAAAACTGGAGTCTTAACCTTTCGATACACTAAAAAATAGACCTTTATAATAACTGGGTTTAAGTGTATTTTTAAAAACGCATTTAATGTTAATTTGCAGATTTTCCCAGTTTAGACAAATTGCAGTTAATAACTCATAAAACTAGAGAAAAAAATATTAATTTACATGTTTCCTGTAAGACAAAACAAACAAACTAATCTGTAAATGATCTAAAATATGTTTTCAAAAAAAATAATTTTTTTATGTTTAACCATAAAATTACAGTATTTTTTGTTTTGCAATATTTAAAATAAAAAATACAAAAAATAATTATATATTCATTACAGATATGTGTCATTATTTGAAAAAAATCTAAATTCAGGATTTTAAAAATGATTTTTAAAAAAAATTCCTTCCTCAAATTTCATTGTTTTCTTTAATAAAAACAATATTTTGCAAAATCACTGAAAACATGCATGACTTACTTTTTTATTATTTTTCAAATACATTAAATGATGTCCACATCAAAAATTTACATTTTTTTAAATGGTAATTTTTTAAATGTTTGACTATAATATATATATATATATATATATATATATATATTGTTATTTGTACATGTTATTTGAGATAAAAATTATCTATATTCAGGACTTACAAATTGTAAAATATTATTTCTGTTATTTTACAAATATTCCCTGTTTTTTTTAAAACTATAGATAACATCTATTGAAATCACGGGTAAAAGTATTATTAGTATTATTAACTTTTTATTTTATTTTATTTTATTTTACAGGTATTCGCTGTTAGTTCCACAGTTTAACACGTTACAGTACCTCACCATTTATTCATGTATTTTCTGCCACCTTTGCTGCCAGATTTTCACAGTTTTTTTTTTGTTTTTTTTCTTACAATATTTTTTATTTTTATTGCTGTGTTTGGCCACCAGTGCATCATAACTTTCTTCTCTTGAAAGCTTGACTCATGAAAGCGATGATGCAGACAGAGGAAGGTGAATCCCCACGAGGACATGGAGACGGAGGCGTATGAAAGGCACTTGCCTCGCTTGGTGTCGGAGTTTGTGGCGGTACCAGGAGTCGTGGCACAGGGGCAGAACCCGGCACACATGACACTGAGGTCTTTGCCTGTGAGGCAGGCCTGCTGCTCCAACTTACACTGGAAGGAGAGCGACAGACAGAGAGGGAGAGAAAGAGGCACGGATGCAGTTAAAATATTTATGGGGGTGACCGCAGGAGAAAGAGATTGCTCATTCAGATGAGACACTGCACTTAGAGAACGGCGGCAGGAATGAGCTGTCATTTTCCGCTGCGCTCTCATGCAAGGTCAAAATTAAAAACTATACATAAATCAATAAAGAATCCTGGCAGTGGCCGGTCTACGGTGACGCCGCTCAAACCAGCGTCAGCCATTAATCATACGGCGGCGTCGGGCCTTTGCACTTGTCCTCCCGCGAGCAGTGATGAACTGTGCTGCCCCGCCGCGCCCACGTACATGTCAGCACGGCAGGAAACAGCTCTTGACTGGGATCCTCTCGTTATTTAAAACGGTGACACGGCAGCTTTCCGTTTGGTTTCAGGGATTCTGAGAGAAGTCGGTAATAAAGCAAAAAAAAAAAGAACAGGGGGGAATAAGTAAGAAGTGCTTTGAAGAAGAGAAGGTTTGCTTTTACCCCTGAGGCGTAGTTGTGTCCATCAGAGCCGCACACAGGTGAGGAGGCGGCCACAGGACACGGCTTGCAGCTGCCGTCGTGGGCCTCCAGCTGCCCCGACTGCTTCACTCTGGAGGCAAGAGGGGCAATAAAGGAAAGGTTAGAATGAGGGTAGTTTCCAGACAATCACCTCCGTACTACGCTGTGTTCTGCCTCGGCTGATGGGAGCTGGTTGTGATGCTCACTGCAGTGATTTATACACTCTAAAAAATAATGTTTGGGATAAAATTATAAGAATAGCACAACAGCTGACGTCTACTGTGAAATGGTCCAAACGGGTCAGAATAGAGGTGGGACTTTAAATCCTGAGCTCAGGGTGAAGTAAAACACGTCATCAAGCCAGTTTCATTAACTTGAATTTAGTCAACATCAGAATACTGGATTGACTTTAATATGTAAATACAACCCCATCGACATCATGTGTGTACGGTCAAACATTTAATCAGTTAATTAGAGCAGAATGATGGGCAGAAAAGCTGGTTCGCTGGCTAGCAGGCTGCGAGGTGGCTGGTGCATTGTTCTGCTTCCCATATCTTCTGTTCCACCCTGACGGCGATACGGCAATGCAGCGGTACGGCGGCCTCCATCCCATGGACAACTACAGGAGTCACTGACATCCACCATCTGTCTGAAAATGTCATTAGTTTTGGAGGCTTTCAGTCATAACCCAAATATTTTGCAAACTACCCGTCGGCCTGATGGTGGTGTTTGATAAGCAGCTTCAGCTCAATTATACCAATTCGTGCAGCAAACTTAATGGAAACTTCTAACAGCTGCTGTTGCATTTCACTGAAAACTGAAAAATCCTCCTCATGGTGGCTCCAGAATGATCTGAATGTGAATTTCGTGCCAATCCATTGAGTAAATGATGAGATATTTCAACCGAAGTGCTTCGGCTGTGACCAGTGAACACGCTGCCAGCCGGCCACGTGACCAGGACGCACCTCTAAACTAAATCTTGTTAAATGACTGCTACGAGGACGCTGTTTGGGAGAGACGTGTTCAGGATGAATGTTTTTTTTTGAAAGCTGTGAGCACCAGATTCCATCCCGCGGACCTCAGAGGCAGCTCCCGGCTAACGCTCGTCTGCATGTCCTGAGATTTTAAAGTGAGGAGGTCTGTTTGGTAATTTGAGTGACCCTCCCGGTGAGATCAAACAGAGCCACAACACTTCCTCTAATCAGCTGGTTTTGGTTTTTTAATAACAAATCATTTAACACATCCTGCAGAAACATAACGAGACATTTCTGATTAGAACAAAGTCGCATCCGTTAATATTTGAATTCGCTCCTCATGAAGACTCCCCCGTGGTTGCTTTCCTTCCTCCCCCCCCTCCCGGCGCGTTGATTGACTTGGTGTTCGGCGAGCGCGAGGCTCCGCCGTGCGACTTCTGAGGCAGCTGCTTAATGACGGCGGCACGGTTTAGCGTGGTGGCGTTTGTGCTTATTACCCATTATTCGACACAGTCTCTCTCATCTCTGGAGTGACTCTGTAAATGAAGCACTTTATTGAAAAAGATAAATGCCTGTCGCCGCAGATAGACTTTGCAGGTAGTAATAATTCACTCCATTAATTCTTTTCAGCCCTGCAACCCTGCTCATTTGTTTTTCAGTCAGAGTGGAATGAATGGGCGAGGGAACAGATAAACGCTTCTCTGCAAAGGTTTACTACAGAAAAGTTGAGAGAACAAAAAGTCTTTGTGAAGGAATCAGAACATGAAACACGGTGATGAAATATCAAAGATTTTTTATATATATATATACTTTGGTTGCCATGGTTACAGCATCCGCTCCCTCCACCTCTGCGTCCACTGATCAATGTGACGTTTTTTTTATTTTTTATTATTGACATGAGAAGTTGGGTGAAGTCTCGTTGAGGACATGGCGTCCTGGCCTTCCAGTGCTTGGAGATGGTTGCTTAGTGACGCACAACAAAACAGACGTTTCCTTCCTTTTCAAAATGTTGATTGATTTCTGCATCTCAGTGGGTCAGAAGCTCTTTAAAAAATGACTTGTTTTTAAGACCACGTCGCCGATGAGGAGCATCCGGATCGTATTCACCCCGTCACCCACTCACCTGCTGCCCGAGTTTCAGCCACTTACAGCGAGACCACGTCGAACTTATGAGCATTTAAACGCAGCCAGTTTTATACAGTGAGGAGACATCCAGCCTTTCTTGGAGCCTTATGGGAGCTAATTCCTGCAAACTTTACAGCATGACGTCGGCTAATAATACGACTTTTCTCTGCTCTTGCTGCTGCTGCACTACAGATAGTTATAAATGTAGAGTCGGTCTCTGATTGTGAATTAGAGCGGCTCGATTTTAGCCAAAAATGTTTCAGGAGAAACTTTTATAAATCTTATTTAGATGCAGATTTGTGCATTAGCAGGATTTTGGCAAAACATGGACTCCTCAGTTTTTTAATTTGTTATTTTTTTTACTTATCCTGATCATATTTATTTGATCTGATCTTTTTACTTCCTGGCTGTCATATCGATAAATACTGAGCACTTTTTTGTCTCTTTGTCTTTTTGTCAGTGTGTGTTTTGTTTAAAGACAAATGCCAAACAAATCTACCCACGTGTATCAATGAAGTGACCAGTTTATGACACAGTTTGTACTAAATCGTGATCGCAATATTGAGCAAGAAAATCATTTTGGCCGTAACTGTGCAAAGTTAATTGGCTGTATGGAAATTTTCCGGCTACAGAAAGGACGACCAAAAACAGGCACTCTGTTAGCGTCGTGCACTCATTTAAATCAGCAGCACACAGCTAAATACTGGTAATATTTTAACATGAAGAGAAACAGATGAATTAAGTTCCTCCATCTGGAAATAATTTGTTATTCCGAAATGATCGAGGTGACAAATGTCCTTTTTAAAATATGAAAAATGTGTGAATCATCTGTAGCCTTCCTGACACGGTGCAACACGAGCAAGGGCATCTGAAATTTTTAATTTTTTTTGCTTCGGATGGCGTTCAGATGTGGCTCTGGCTGAATTAAACGGTCAAAAAATGAGTCACGTTGCTTCGTGTGGTGGCAACAGCTGCCTTCTTTCTGCTGCTGAAACATTTCCATGCACTTAATTCAAATCAAGCTGCACAGTTATGACCAAACTGAATGACTTTCATGCATAAATGAAACAAACCCTGCTTTCACGTCCATGCTACGCTACATTCCTGTTAATGCACAAATCGGTATCAGGGTAAGTTTCGAAATAAGGTTCCTCTTCACATGAATTCAGAGCATCTCCTCGAGGCAAAAAATGAATGAAACCACACCCAAAAAGTGCATCATAGCTAACAGATGTTGCCTAAGCAGCTCCCATGCAGCCTACAGTAGATGCTAGCTGTGCACACAGAAGCCTCTAGTCTCCACACTCACCAACTCAGACAGGCGAGTGACCAAAAATGAATTTCCAGTGTCAGGTTTCTGAATGCTGATGAGTGGTTTTATCTACATGTGCTGTTTTTTTTGTGTTCATTTAATTGTGAGAAGCCAAAATTATTAGACTCCAGCCCCCCGTGACCCTGGTGAGGATTAAGGTGTAGAGATGATGGATGGATGGAAGTCAGTGGGTGCGGCTTATATTCAGGTGCACTCAGTAGTCTGTAAATTATTCGTATACACATCGTGCTTAGTGTCCAGTCATCTGGTGCACCTGCCTCCTGAAACCCAGACTTTAAACACATCGCTGCAGCATTAGTCTGTATTATGAGTTGTATTTCTGGCCACCAAATAAACATCAGAACAATAATCGCTCATCTTTCTCTGTGTTTTTGATCTCCGCCACCTCCTGAGGGAAATCGCTGCCTTTTTAGCTGCTAAATGCTCGACTGTGCTCAACATCTCGTCGCTAACAGTCTGTTTGTGCTGTTGGGCAATTAGTGCAGTAAACAGAGCTGCTGCTTTTTTTTTTGTTTTGCTGGAAACAGCTGCCCACATCTGTAAACGACAATACAGTAACGACAACAGGGTGACAGCGAACACAACACAGGGACTGAAGCTGGGTTGTGTGTGTGTGATCAGATGTTGTTCCAGCAGCTTGTCATGTATGTTGTGTTTCTGCAGCAGCCATTCTTAAGCTGCATCAGCTATGTTTGTCTAATTAGTGGATTTTATTCGCTTGAACAGTGATGATGATTTGCAGCCATTCTGGCATCGGCTTTGTTGATACTCGCAGTCTTTTGCCAAAGTGTGAGATAATACAGCTGTCAGAAAGTCTCCACTAGAAGCCTCAACTTGAGCGATTTTTTTTCTCCGTTTTCAGTCGATGTGAAACAGTTCAGATCTCAATTTGCCCAAAAAAAGTTTGTAGAGGTTTGGTCAGGAATGCATTTGATTTGGGGCACATTTAAAACTCAGTGAAGAAGCTGATGAAGGTCTTTTTTTTTTAGCTTAACTCTGTATCTGGTGCGCATACATGCATACATAGATGAGAATGTGGTGCTGTTTCGCGTTTGAAGAGGATTTTCAAAAGCCCCGAGCTAATTCATTTCTAACTACATATATGTATGAGCTCACAAACTGATGATCCGTGTAGTTTTAAGTCATTAAACTAAGTGATAGTGGCTCCATTATTAATTAACGCCGAGTCACGGGACTTCACGATACATCATGCATTAGATCATGAGTCATGTATTCGTTAGGCATTCATTAATCATAACTCATATACCCTTAACATTAAGTGTTATAATGAACTAGCGGCTCTTAATTCTGTGTCTGATGAGATGTTTCAATCGCACGTGTGGCCGCGGACAAGGACGGCTGTATATCTTGAATGAGGTGCTTTTACTTTGAAAATCACTGCTCATTTGAACTTAGTTGCTGCATGTATGACGCCTTTTTGCCTCTAAATGAGTTCCCTAATTGCTCAACATGACTGATCACACATCCCCTTAACACAAAACAAGCCTCCCCTCTGATTTTAGCAGCGACGCTCCTCCTACCTTTGCTCCAGTTTCTTGCGATTGACACACATGGCCCTCTGGTAGCCCTGAGCGACGCACACCTTATGGCGGCTGCACTTCACATTCTGGCACGGGTCCTTGGTGGTGTCCACGGCTGCGAAGCACAAGGAACAGACCTGTCAGTCACAACCTGATGTGTTCGGGCTGTTTTAATTCTCCGTGTTTGTCACCTCCAGCAGACGAAGCTTCAGGCTGCTGTTATTTCTTTTTGACAAGCGGCGTGTGTTCAGCAGATTGATGAGCAACAACAACAACAACGACACACCGGCTGCAGGAAAGGAGCTGCTGTTTTATGTGCTGTTTAATCAAGTTATGCCGTTTAAAAATTATTTCTCATTCTCGCAAAACTATCTCTTACCACGTGCAAAATAATCGTAGCGGCGCGCACAGTAACTTCATTGATTTTATAGGAGGCGCTGCTGAAAACATGGACGCCGAGCTGTCATTAGCGAGGCAGCCCGACGTCAATAGCGCTGCCTGCAGTCTCCAACGGCGGCCTCTGATTGCGAGGAACAACCTGACAGCACTGATTGAGCATCTCTTTCTCTCAGCCTGTCACATCTCACTTCCCCCACGTCAACTTATCACCGTCTCCCCTCAGCTCGCCGTTTCTCTGTCTCTCACACAAACACACTCTCCATCTTTGTCTCCCACTTTGCTTCTATCCTCTATTATTTTTTTTCCCTTCCCTTGCGCCTCTCTCCATCTTCAGAGAGCTGAACGGTTCAATGCCAGCCTCGTTTCCGCTGATAGACTGAGATGGAAATAGCGCCGTGTCCTCCACCTTCCTCAGCCAGTGGTCAATGCCATCCGAAAGTGGATGTCACACCGTCCCAGTCCATTTGCCTCCTCGCCCGGGGAAGGCCTCAAAAAAAAAAAAAAAACAACTCTGAGGCTGGGATAGATTTAAGAGTGAGTGGCGAGCGGCGGTCGCTGAGAAAAATTTAAGCCGTGAAATCCTGAGTCAGCTTTGAACAGCTGCTTTGTAGTCAACACGGTCAACAGACGAGGCGGCTGCCAGCCGGATCCCCGCAAATCCGGCGACTAGGTGATGCTTTGATGCTCCGGGCGGGAGGTACGAGGGAACGGTGGACTTCTGTGGATTCAGTGGATGACAAGACAACTGTGAGGGAATCAGCTTCTTAGCGACCATGTTCCAGATCAAGGTGGTGATTGGAGTTTATGAAGAGTGAAAGTCTGGCGGCGGCTTTGAGCTAGCTGTTGCTCCACCGGCCGTTCCTCCAGAACGTACAGCTGGTTGTTGAGGAGAACTGGTCGGTTCGGACGGCTTGTTTCAGATACTTTGCACCATTTGAGAACTCTTTGATTTAAACACCTTCAGGGAAACATCGAACTACATTTTTTTCCATTTAAGAAAATACAGAAAATATCAACATGTGTGCTGTGAATCTGCTCGTGATCCAAATACTTGTTCTCACTAAAATTATCCAACAGAATCCATATTTCCATACACAGTAGTGGATTTTCGTACCAGTCGATCTTTGTTCCATCCCTCACCGATGGTCATAACCTCTGGATATCATGGATACAAGAATCAAAATTTGTTAACGAAACAGGTTGGCTGAGCTCAGCCTTGGAAGTCCGGTGAAGAGGAGGAAGTTTGGAGGAGAGTTGCTGCTCCTTGACATCGAACAGAGCTGAGGTAGTTCAGGCATCTCGGGGGAACCTTTGGAGGTCTTCTAGGCAGCTGGGATGTCCCAGTGTAAGTGGAGGGATTATATATCTCATCTGGTCTAGAACGCCCTGGTTAGCAGCTACTCCCATAACAATAGTTGGACGTCAGAATAAAGTGTAATAATAATGGATAAAACTCACTCCTCATAGGCCCACCAAAGGTACGACTGCAACACTGCACAAGCATCAATGAAACTCAGATCCGGTGAGGAGACTTGGAGCTTAAAGCTACTTTTGAAGGTTTTACATGAGTTTCAGTTCACCTTGTATGCTGCAGCCCGAACTAAAAAAATAACATTTTGATTTGAAGACCAGCTGCTGAAGTCACGGCATATCGAGTGCCAAGGTCTCAGATGGAGCCGGGGATCTCAAGACCTCGTTATAGGAGCTCAGCTGAGTTAGATCCGAGGAACAATTGATTCGTTCTCGGTGCAGATCTTGGAATTTTTAAAACAGCAGTTCTGTGGCTGCACAGGCCTCCGTGAAGCCAGAGGGTCGACTACTGCACGGGCTGTGGACTGGACACGATCTGGAAGAGGGTGGAGATGAAGCATTTCTGAACAGCTTTAATGTCACAGAACTGCAGATTGAATAAACCCTTTGCTGTATGGTGGATTACTAATGGAAAAAACAAAACCTTATCTTAACAGAACTACCGTCCCCTTTATCTAAACTGTACTGTACTGAGGTAGAAGCTCATAATAGCACCAAACTTAGCATTTAGTCCCAGAAAAGAAGCTAACAGATCGACTCCGGCAGCGTTAGTTACTCATAAACCTTCAGACGTTCCATATAAAAGGTTTTGCGACCACCTGACTCCAGCAGGTGATCCTCTCTGTTGTGATCTAACCCCAGCAGCTGAATAACAGACTCTACATTTGTCTCCTGCTCCTCTTTTGATTTAAGACTCCTCAGCTGTCACCATACATGTCATTCCGACTATTTCTCAACAATAAAGGAAGTGAAGTTATTGAATATCTGCAGCGTGTCACATCAGCTCTCTTTTCATCACTCAGGTTCTCCTCCCTGGGCTTCCTCCTGGTTCGTCTCAGGCAGGCTGTCGCTGTATATTCTGTTACAATCAGAACGAGGATTAACATTTCATTTTGTTAGCACGGCTTCCAGTCACGGGCCATAAACTTTCATGGAGGCGGGGAATTGAACTCCGTCGCTGATTTTAGTGGTGTAATATACCTTAAACTGTTCCCACCATCATGTGTGCGGCTTTATTATTTTTCCGTCCACTGAGCGGTCGCTGTTTTCTGCCGTCAGCTCGCACCGTGATGGGCTGTGCGGTGAGCCGTGAGCGGCGCCGGCTGAACGGACCGGATGAGGAAGAGTGAAATAAACCTAGAGAGCACTCAGAGAGCAAACCGAGGCTCCGCAGCCCTCCTCAGGTTTTATTTTTATAATAAAACATTTCTTATCTGTGGTTGAACCCAGTCCATCTGCAGCAGATAACCATACATCACAGCTGCAGGGTTTGAGTCGCCACTGAATCATGACTTCCTGTTAAAGTCACATGTTTACAAGTATTTTGGGGTTTTTTTGGTTGCCCAGTTTAACTATATTGAAAATAAAGGGTAAAAAAAAAAAAAAGGCTATTTTGTTTTTAATAACAGTTATTTGTAACAACAGTCAAGCTCGATCCCAAGGTGACATTTTCAAATTCAAAATTCAAATAAACCTTAAAATGTTGAGTTTATGGCTGCAGGTGGCTCAGTGGTTAGCACCGTTAGCGCCTCACAGCTAGAAGGTCGCCGGTTCGCATCCCGGTGAGGACACCCGGGATCTTTCCATGTTCTCCCCGTGCAGCGTGGGTTCTCTCCGGGTTCTCCGTCTTCCTCCCACAGTCCAAAAACATGCTGAGGTTAATTGGTGATTGTAAATTGTCCGTAGGTGTGAATGTGGTTGCAGACGGATCCATCTCAGCAAAGGAACCAGGAAACTTCTGTCTGCTTCACGTCCAGTTTTCAGTCAGAATGTAAAGAATGGACACGTGTCGGTGTTGTTGGACTAATAAGACTTTGACCTAACGCTCACGTTTTCCATCGCTTTCCTGTACGTTCCCATAGAAACACAGCTGTGAGTTTTCGGCGTCGTGTCAGACGGGGGTGTGCGGCTCTCTCACTGCTCCCATGTTCAGTATTTATGAGCACCTTCAAGTCTGGCTCCGAGCGGCGGCTTCAAATCAAACACTTCCCTCCTCCTCCCTCCTCCCTCCATCCAGCTCCGACACGCTAAAAATGAAATTCAAACACAAGATTTAATTTGCTCCAAAGATCAAGTGTGTTTTCCACCTCGCCCACTCGCCTGTTTTTGTTTACGTTGAGAATTCAGCGCCGAGCCGGGATGTGCGAGGGCCCATTATGAGTTCTAAATCCTCCCGTAATCATGTCAACAGAAAGCGATGCGACTGAGCCCGGGCCCAATCTCTCCCAGATTATTATTATTATTATTACGCGGCGATCAAAAACAGATCAGCTGCTTTCTCATCCCGGATCAGCTCCTCGCGCTGCCGTCTGCGCTCACGTCTGAATCCTCTGCCGAACGTGGAGCCTGGCGGTCGGACAGGAGCATCAATCACAAGCCTTCGTTTTACATTTAATAAAGTAGCTTCTGGAAAAAGAGAAAGTCGTGGACATGTGAGATATTAAAGCGTGACACGGACAGGCCCGTCTGAACGGACAGGCCGCTGAGGTAGCTCGGTCTGGGTCCACACGGTGCTGCAACATGACTTCCTCGTAATTAGAGAAGATGCAGCACACCAGTCACCTCCATCTCTTTAATGTCTGAATGATTCCTGAAGTTACACAACGAATCCTTTTTAAACAAAACCAATTAGCAGGATTGTCTCCAAGCACACAAGCAGCAGAAATAAAGGATGCGAAGGTCAGAGATGACAGCTCCTCTGGTGCATCAGAGTCGGAGCAGCCGGCGCCTCCTTGTTTCTCTGCTGATGTCTCAATCAGCTCGACTTTAAAAAGGCTCCGGCGGAGTCTGAAGTCTCCCGTTAGGTCTGTTTTGTTCTGTCCGGGGGCTCGTGAGCTACACCTCGCCGCTAGTCTCTGCTTGTCTTGTTGAATTTGCGATAAAGAGGGATCTGATCAATTAGGTCTCGCGGAATTAGTCCCGCGGGGAGTTTGCGATGAGGACAAAATCAATGGTATTCAAATGAACGTCGCCCACACCACAGCGAGCCAAGCGCTTTCTTTTTTCTCCTCTCAAGACTACATTAGTTATTCCCCCTGTTCTGAGAAGAGACGACAAGAAGCTTCTCCTCACATCCTCTCCCTCTGAGGCAGCGTGGGCGTGGCATCGCGGCCGACCTCCCGCGCTGAAGAGGGGCCTGCTGATTGGCTGCAGGATGTGCGAATAGGACACGTGCAGCTCGACCTG